TTCCTTCGATTGTAGACTCCGTTTAACCCTTTGCACTTCAGAAATTTTCACTAGAAATGCTCAATATTTCCTAATGAGCTGCAGTTGACATTTTCCAAAATTGATTTGACAAGAAGTCGCGCATACATTGAGGAAGGAAACTATTTTCTTTCAATATTTCATATTAATGCATTATACAAAGTTGAATATTAAATCTCAAACTTTACAATTTAGCTGTGTCAAATCATTGGCGACCGAGAGACGCCTGCGGAGTGCAAAGTGTTAATGAATGATGCATCGGAATTCTACACAATTGGAATTCGAAATGATTGGAAACTCACTGTTTTTATGATCTATCTACTTGGCACTTGGAACATGCTGGTAAACACAGAATTAAATACTTGTACTTCCATTGACACTGCTGTCCGGTGACACACTGGTGTGAACCTATCGAAATTTTGCGAAAACGGGACGAGATTGAGAACTATTGAAATCAGTGAAACTTGACGTTCGAAGATCTCCCGAAAACCTCGAGGAAACACCGGCAAAATGATCGGCGTAGTGTTAACAATGTTCGCGACAGGATCATGTCGAATCCGAGACGTTCGCCAACCATAAACGTTTCAGTCACCCTTACAAGGTTTGATGCCTCCATCGCGTAACGGGTCGCGTGATTTACGTGCCGACAGAACGCCGGCCATAAAGCTAGGGAAGCTCGATCGTTGGACCAGTCGGACGTTTCTTTAATCGACGAAAAGTGCCCGGGACACGGTTTTCACGTTTGCTCACGCGCACGGTCGCTCGCTCGCTTACCTCGTCATAAAATAACTACCGTTCGTCAAGGCAGTTTACAACGTTACACGGTAGTTACGAAACGATTATCCGACACGAGCTGTGCCCGAAGGAAAGAGGGGAAAAAAATCAGGGATCAGTGAATCGTTCCGTGAGGCCGTTTATTGGTAGCACGCTTTCACGGATACTTAACTCGTCCCCCGGCGGCGGTGGCCTGTGATTTTTCCACGATCCCCGCGGTACGATGGCTTCGGGCAACCGGAATGGACACCTTTCGGCGGCCATTAGCGCGGTTAGTAGACCAGTTCCGGGCCGAAATTGATTCGGAACGATAGCCCGACAGCGGAATGCCACTGGCTGTTCGTTCTTGACGGTCGTTGAACCCCGATGGATCTTCGAGAGTAGGAATCTTCGATATTCAATTATCTGTCTGCGTTCTGTTTTATTTATAGATCGATCTTCTTATTTCTTCCCCCCTTCGCTTCTATGTTTATACTACGCTCACTTTATTCTCATTCCGTTGTCCTTCATTTCGGTTTCCTCGCGTTATTAATATTCCATTGCGATTGTCAATATCATTCATCGTATCGGAGACTCTTTAAACATCTACCGAATCAATTCTCCAATTCATTTTCGAGATTCTACTTCTCGCAAGGAATAACTGTGGTCACTCGGAACACAAAATTAGGTATAATTCTTTCTTTTCATTTCTAAAACCACTTACTGATAGAATATTCAACTCAATCTCAGCGTCCATAAATTTGTATAAATTTCCATCGATAATTCGTTCGTTCGGCGCACGTGCAGAACAGTGTCGTTTCGATTTCCCGAATCTTGCACAAAATCCGCGAGAGAGTCGAGTCTCCGCGCCCCTCTGCCCGCTCGCCGCTCTGCTCCGCTTCGCTCGTTGCTGGCCATATGCGTTCCTCCCCGATCGCGATGTTGCACTTGGCTGGAACTCGGCTAATAATAGAACCGGGACCAACTTTCGTCTCGGCCTCGCGTGCACCGGCTTCGTCCGGCCTGTCACGTTGGAAACCGATGACACGGTTCGGCCTTTTGCCTATGCGCGTTCGCCTGTTGGCCTCCCGTCTACGTTGTCCCATAAACGACACCTATCGTTTCCTCGGTCGCCATATATTCACCGCGAGCGAGTCGTGGAAAGAATATTCGGTCGAGCGATCGATCCGCCCGTCACTGCCGCAACGACGACGACGACGACGACGAGGGCGACGGGCTAGATCGACGCGAACGACTCGCTCCAATTCGAGAGGAAACCTCGCCACGAGCTGTCGAGCAGCAGACCGCTGTTGGTTTTCGATCCTGGTCGTGGGAAAAGTTGGAAATCGGCTCGGCGCAAGTGCATTGAACCTCGCCGCCACCGCGAGGAACGGCCGCGGTGACATTTAGACCGTTTTTATCGTCAAAGGACACATTGTGACGTTACCGGCCGCCTCAAAACCAGCGGCTGAACTTGCTTGAACTTGCTGGCTGGGCTTGTTCACGTAATCTTCGGAGAAATCCGAATTTCTTGGCTCGCTATCTGATCCAGACACGGCAGACAGTGTCTCGAAGGGAAATTATGAAATAGTCTGCGTTGACGAGACGAGATGGAGGAAATTGGGATCTTTGCGTAGAAAATTTTATAGCTTCGCGATAGACGACTTTGTCAATTTGATGATTCTTCGTTGGAGATATATGTTCCTGGTAAATTTTATAGCTTTCCGATAGGTGACTCGGTTGATTTGATGATTCTTCGTTGGAGATACATGTTCCTGGTAAATTTTAGAATAGCTTTGCGATAGACGACTTTGTCGATCTGATGGTACTTCGTTGGAGATGTTCCTGGTCTTTATCGTGTTCAGATCGAAACATTGAATTTCAAATTGAATCCGAATGGGATCAATGCGGCAATTTCTTGGCGAGACACGTTGGAACCTAGTAACCCGCTCGCAGTTTGGCAAACTTCTCCAGAAACAAACGGGCGTGCACATAAAACAAAAGACATCGAAAGGAGCAACAAACTGTTCCAGTTTAGCACTTCCTGCGCTTCAAACCTGTTCTGAAGATGGTTAACCGAACAACTTTCGGAAGGATAGTCTGGCTCGCGAGCGCGTGCAAACCCGCTTTTTGCCGCTGATACGTACATAAATAACCCGGACCGGGCAAATTGCTTTACCGATAAATCTCGTCCCGCAAAAATATACTTTGCTTTCTTTGCGTGTTCTTTATGGGAGTTGTTTGACGGACAGCTGCAAATCCCGAAAGAATAACTTCCTCCGTTACCAGACAGGCGAATGCCACGCCATTTTCGTCGTTATCGTGGCTCTCGCTTTAGTAACAAGTTCGAGTCACGAAAATGAACGAATTTTGTGCGAAGAAGATCTTCCTGTTAAAATTGAACTCCATGTACTTGTAAGAAAACACGCGAACACCGTGCAGAATATGATCCAGTCGAATGGAAAACTCGACAGTGAATAAATAGAGTATTTTAAAATTATTGCAATGCATTTTCGCTTGGGAAGGTGAATAAAAAATCATCGTTGCATTTTCGTTGCGTCGCCCTGTACAGATCTTTGCCACGCAAAGCGCAGAAGCATCGGAGCACATGTTCCCGCGGACAAGTTCATTGCACGTTGATTCACGTCTGCCTCGAAGGGGAATCGGAAACCATCACACCGCCCGTTTGTTTATACAATATCGTTATGTTTCGCGGGTCGAGCAAGTAAACGGGCCACAGTGTTTGCCAGCCAGACTGCATCGTGTCTGACATGAGATACTCGCAATAAACAAGATCTCCGTTGGGCGCAGAAATTAGAATTCCTTGTAGCCGAATTGAATCCCGTGGGCGAAGCACGAGAATTCTTCATAATATTCCAAATTCACTTCTATCCGACACTCTCATCGAGTATTCGTCTGAAGTGAGTCAATAAACGCCATCTTATAAGAAAATGGCGGCTCCCTTGCTCCTTATCCTACTACAATTGACAATATAATTGTTTCAGTTGATAAAATTCCAGTTTAAAAACCTGTTACATCGAAGTTCACTCGCAATGTATATTCCTACGAAACACTAGTTTCCTAACTTCCATGACCTCCCAGATATCAAATCTGAAAGTCTCGAAGTGAGAGCTTTGAAAGTTAAAGAGGCGGAGCCCATTTGTTGAGAGTGAGCATGAGATATATTTTTAATGGCTATGAAACATCCGTTGCAGTCCTCTCCCTCGCAGGAGTCAGTTGTTCTTCCTGAGGACAGCCATTTTTATTGCACGCGCTGAGCCCCTTTTTTTCCTCCGCGTCGTTCGGCAGTTCGTAGCAAACGCTCGACCATCGAACAGCGTTCCGTTTTCAGTTCTTGTAAATCACCGTGATATATACTAATAAATATACACCTAGTTCTTCAAACTGTGTCGTGTTTATTTTTGCAAATAAATATTCAACGCCAGTACTACTAGGCTCCATTGATATTCCTCTACTTTGATATTTCCTCCATGTTAACCCTTTGAACTCTGTAGGCTCCAATATTGCACCAGGAATAATATTAGATATTTTAATGAATCTTAAAGAAACTACCCTACAATTATTAGATTCTTCATCCAAATTTTACACTAAGAAGGAAAATGAAAGATCTAAGAAATGTTATAGCATCTTTCATTTTCGCTAAGGGTATTATAAAAATTAGTTGTTAACTAACTAAAAGTTAGTTAAAAATTAGCTAAGGGTTAACCCTTTGCACTCCAGATGATTTTTCTCAAGAAATATTCATTATTCTCTGATGAAATATCGATGATATTTTTTACAACTAACGTAAAGGAATACCTTACATAAACTAAGTGACAGAACCATTTCATTTCGATGTTCCATGTGTTGATACATTACAGACAGTCTAACCCTTTGCACTCCAAGAGTTTTCTACCAAAAATACCCAACACTTTCCGATGAAATGTAGTTAACATTTCTTGAAACTGGCTTCACGAAAAATCGTATATAAACTGAAGGAAGAGGCTGTTTTATTTTAATATTTCACATACTAATGCATCATACGAAACTTAACATTAAATATTATACTCCATAATTTTTCTGTGCCAAATCGAGTGGTGACTGACAGGCACCTTTGGAGTGCAAGGGGTTAATATTGAATTTGACATTTTATCATTTTCTTCAATTTTCTTTCTCAAAGGGTTTAAAGCTAACAAGTCATCTAACCGTTTCGATTGTTTCTGTTGCAGGATCGAGCACGGATCTGGTGCCCCAAATGCTGGGTATGTTCGACGAGCTAGCGCGTGGCGGCAATGGGTATACCGATCACGTAGTCCTTCCCACGGTGCTCCAGAAACGTTTGAGCCTGGTGTCTCAGTCCCATCGGGGGTCCATATTCGGCCAGTTCTGTCCCGACTTGGCCAAGTCTCAGCCAGGGGGCGCGATGACGTTGGAACAGGAGACGGAGAGTCGCGTGGAAGTGGTCGTCGCCGAGGACATCGCGGACAACCAGAAGGACAGCAACGTTTACGACACGCGGGAGGATCGAACCGATTGCACGATCGAGGAGAAGCCTTATCGGAGGGAGAGCAACGGACTCACGCCGCTCAGGTACAACAGAAGATGCAGGAACGCCGGTAGACCGCTCTCTGGAAGCTCCGTTGCGTCCAGCACGTCTTCCAGCGGGTGCAGCAACCAGGGGAACACCTGCAACGTTAATCCTTATTTGGCGTCCGTCGAGTCCCTGGCCGATACTTGCGCCAGTTCTCAAGGTAAGACTGAAACGCTCCGAACTCGCCTCGTTCAACTCATTTCCCATGAAAATATTGAACATTACGGTGTCATCAATTACCCGTAACGATGGATAATATTATATTAAACCCACGGATCTTTGATTTCTCTATTGCTCAGTTCATTTGCAGTGATATATGAGAGTCTAAATCATGCTCACTGTAATAAACCACTGACAGTGAAAGTGCAGGCGAAAGAAATAGTTCAGGGTCAATACTCGCGTTTCCCCCACTAAGACGCGTAACCACGCCCATCGTACCCCCTCTAAGCTTGTTAACCACGCCTTTCAATTCTAGCCACACCTATTATCTATTGTTTAGATCTAATTTCGAATCGCGAGCAGAGTAGAATTAAACAAATTTACAAGATGTACACGAAGGAAGAAACATTGTTCCGTTAACTACCGTTGGTTTGCTTACTTTGTCCCGCTTTCCCGAAACAAAAGCGAAGGGGTATCAGCTTTTTACGAGCGAGCACGCGATCCCGACGCGTAGATCTCTGCGTCCCGAGGAACGCACGCATTTTCTCATGCGGCAATTCAGGCCGTGGAGCAATGTTTTCCTCGATGATCGCGGAACGCCGAGAGAGAACTTTATTGCCACCGCTGCTATCATTACTGTCATTGCTGGTTATTACGCTACGGCGGAGAGAAAGTCGGAGTCCTTGGAATCTCCGGCGGCCGATACATTGGGAAACGGATTTCTAAAATATTTCAGGCTTTGGATCACTTCCCCTGGCCTGCTATATTCTGTCGTGAGCTCTTAATTAAACGCAAGCGCGCATAGGCGAGCGAGGCGGGCAGTCGCGCTGACACCGCTGCTGGAATTTACTAAATCATTGCGCAATTACGACAAACTGATTTATATTAATTTTTAGTTAAAAGGAAAGTGAAATTTATTTACGATTCCGTTTGACCCGAGTATCGAAGAAAACAACCCCCGACAGGATAATCTCTTGTCTTTCCCTTTTCCGCTGACAGTATTAATTCCGACAATGCTGGGAATGCCGGGTGAATGACGCGGAATTTTCTGATTGAATTAGGTTCCGGGGACAGCGGAGTGGTCACGGTTTCAGAGTCTAACTGCAGGATTGGCAATGACGGCGGCGGTCAACGGCGAAACAGCGCCGAGGAGGATCAACCGTTCTACAGGCCACGCTACAGCGATCCCCATCGAAATCCCATGGAAAGGGTGCTCCTCGAAATAGTCGACACCGAAGCGATATACGTGGAACACTTGCGACAGATTATCCAAG